ACCCAAAGAACTCGTCCTATTGCAGAGACACTTGTACATCCATGTTTGTTGCTGCTCTTTTCACAATACCTAAGAGATGGAAGCAACCTAGGTGTCCCTCAATTGATGGAGTTTTATTCAGCAGTAAAGAAAGATGAAATAATGAAATTTTCAGGTAAATGGATGGATCTAGAAACTGTTATACTAAGTGAAGTAACACAGACTCAGAAGAACAAACGACCTATGTTCTCCCTCATATGTGGATCATAGCAGAAAATCCTTTTAAATTCCACATCCTTTAATAAGATGATGCTATACAGCAGTCCTTTCTGCATGAAATAACTCCATCATCAGGACTGCAGCTGTGCCTGCTTGCTAAACATCATCACAATTGGGCTTGTTGACAGTTGTGCTCCTTCATTAGAGGAGGGGCAAGCAGGGTCACTGAACCCTCACTAGAGTATCCAGCCACTCTTCCCAGCCAACTGTATGTAATTTGGCTCTAGTCACACACGGCCTCCTGGATTTGGGGAGGGCTAAAGTATACAATCTGGGGAAGGCTAAGAAGAGAAGGTATGACCCATGCTGGGTAAAGGCTTTCCAGTGTGCATACCCTCAGGTCATACATACACCTCAGCAACCCCTCAGTCATCTCTGTAAGTAAGCTCAGTAAATTCACTGATTCCCCAGGAAAGCTTTAATCAAACACTGCTTTGACACTAGAATCTTGATAAGCATTGCTTAGCATCCCCAGGAAAAGAAGTCTCACAACAGATGGGAAATTTATTTGTTAATGCTATTGTGTCTCATAATTATTAAGAAAGAAAATGAGAACGTAAAGGATGTTCAAAGGATATGGGAATGGAGATATTTTCCAAAATAGAAAACATGAGAGAGCCTAAGCAAGAGATGAAGGTCTGTGTAGGTTTGTTATGATATATAAAGGATGAGACAAAAATAATATACACACAATCTTAAAATTTCTAAGATCATAGTCAACTAGTTTAAGGAACAAAACATAAGCCTAATCAAAGTTTATCTGAGAACGTTTGGTCTTTGCCCAAGCTCTATCTACATGGCACATGGTGATTAAAAGTACCAGACTGGTGGCACTAACGTTCTTGGATGTTTAACAGCCATACTCTGAGACCTATACTAATCTGGTCAGAGGGACTTAAAGGACAGTTTTTGTTCCTTGCCCTCCAAGGTCGACTAAGTTCCAGGGGACTGTGGAGCATCTCTCAAAATGTCCTGTAACTGTGCTGAGTCGCCTGTCTTCTTGTTCAGGGAGAACATGGAGACCCCACGAGATGAACTTGAACCAGTGTCCAGTCTACAAAAAGGAGGGTCAACTCAGAGGAAACATTTCCTCCATGCTTCCAAGTGAAGCCAGCCATGGTCGAGCAGGACCTTTGAGTTATCTTCACATAGATGGAGCTGGTAAAAGAAAGCCAGGGGCTCCTCCCAAGCCCATGTGACCCCTGAGGAACAAATCCTCAAATGACCTTAAGAGCAAAAATAAACTGGTTTATTTGGGCCAACTGTATGGCCTTAAACATCCAAAAGGAAAGTATAACCAAAGATTAAAGTGATCAATACAATTCTTTAAGAGGTCACGGGATTACACTTTCCAGACATTAGACTTAAGTCCATATAAAATGTTATTTACCCAATTGAGGCTCCCTCGACCCAGGTGTGTCAAGTTGACACTAAAGCTATCCAGCAGTCTCCAATACTGTAGTACCCACCTGTAGCTAAGGGAGACAACCCACTATTGTTCTAAAATGATGGATAAATGTTTTCTCCCCCTATCTAGAAGCCTTGGAGAGGGAACTGAAACTGATTCTAAGCATTCCAACAGCCATCAAAATACCTGAAAGCAAATTCTGAATCCATCACTCTTGAGTCCAGCTTTGTCAGATTAAAGAAAATGAGGAGGAACCCAATAGAGGGATGCTTTTGGAAGCCCTTGTCAAGAAATCCCAATGGACTCTGATAAGAACATTTGAAATTTGCCCTGTTCTGACTTTTCTGGTTCCCTGTCTAGAACCTGTAATGCTAACTACTCTTGCCTTTATTTCTCCTTCACATCTCCTATTCACCAGTCAAGGACTTTCTTTTCCCCCTACAGATAAGAGTTATACAATTTGGGAGTCTTTTAGACAGACCCACTGGAGGGGTATCCCAATTGCCTCACTCTGCATCCCTGTCCAGCATGGAAGAAGCCAGAGCGTTCTGCTTCCAGATTCCCTAGTGGCAATTTGGGTAACCTCTTTGGGGGATGGTGTGATAAGAATAGGAGGTAGGAATTGGCTAGGCAGTTAGGATAAAAAGACCCCAAAGAAAAGTAGCCAATTTCTTGGCTAAACATCAAAATGTCCCTGGGCCTCTTAGCAACATACTCTGTTCTGCCAAAAATGTCAAAAGTATTTGGGAGCTCTTATCTAATCCCTAAAAGATTTTAGGGCTACCTCTTCAGAGGGGGGAATGTTAGAGTAGCAAAAAGCTCCATAAAATAAATGAATAAATTTTTTAAAAAAATAAAAAATAAATAAAAAAAGAAAGAGTACACGAAGTTGTTCAGGGAAAAGTAATGGGGTAATATGGGAAGAGCTGGAGGGGAGAGAGTGGGCGTGGATTTGATCAAAACACCTTATATGCATGCATGAAATTCTCAAAAAAATTTTTTTAAAGTTAAAAAAAAAAGGAAAGAAGGAAGGAAGAGCCACAGAACAGGAGGAGGGGAGGTCAATCATCCCTATAGAAACAACGTGTTTTCCATGTGGAAGCACCTACAGGCTCCACTAAAGGCCTTTTGGATTAATAGATTAGGAGAATACAAAAATCGATGTACCAAATCCAAGAATCAAAACTCAAGGCAGAGGATGTGGCTCAGGTGGCAGAGTGTTGGACCCTGAGCATAACCTGGCACAGTAGCACACACCTGTGATTCCAGCACTTGGGAGGCAGAGGCAGGAGGATCGGGACTTCCAGGTCATCTCAAGGCAAGCCTTAAAAAAAACCCTAACAACAAATTTGCTGTGGAGGCAATGACAAGCAAATGCAGTCTATATACGGAAATGGTGCAATGAAGCCCCAGATGCTGTATGGAGAACACACACTAATGAAAAAAAACGCATGAAAGCAATCCGAATCACCACAGCTACAAAGAAAAAAAGGTATTCAGGAATAAATTTAACAAAAACAGTGACGGGCGTCTACAATGAAAATTTACAAAGCATCAATACAGAAACAAACGACACTAAAAAATGTTGAGACGTTCCATGTCCATGCACCGTAAGAATGAATTCTTATGATGTCCATACAACGCAAGATTTACAGATTCAGTGCAGACTGTCAGCTCACCAGTGAGTCTTGACAGACTGGAAAGGCAATCCTGATCCTGAGATGCACGAGGTAGCCTGGCAGATGTGGCCCCGAAGTGCGGACAGAACGACAGCTGGAGGCACCACGGAACCTCAGTTCAAGGCTACAGAGCCACGGGGACAAAGTCACCCAGTACCATCCCAGAAACAGCCACACAGACTCAGGAAACAAAATAGATCCCAAATAAACCCATCGACAGCTGATTCTCACCTAAGGTGTCAAAATACATCTGCTGGAGACAGGACAAAGGACAGCTATTCCACAAAGACACTGGGCAGGCTGGGAGTCCACCTGCAGAAGCTTCAAACTTGACTCCTCTCTCTACAAAAATCAACTCAAAATGAATCAAAGATCAAAATGTAAGACCCGACTCTAAGAAAACTTCGGAGAAATACTTCAGGCCATTCCTGCAAGCAATGCTATTTAGGACATAACTCAAAACCCAGGAAAACAAAAGCAAAACTAGAGAAATGGGAACCCATCAAACCAAGAAACTTTCCCAGAGCAAAGGGAACGGTAGACAGTTGACAGGAACAACTGTGGCCAGACTGACAGGTTACTAGGCAGAACAGATGCGGAACTGAGGCTTAGAAAACAAGTAATCCAACTGAGAAATGATCAGAACACACAAATCTATGGAAACACGTTCTCTACCACTGGCCAGTAGAGACCTGCCAATCAAGGCAACGAGGCGCCATTTCGCCCAAGTTCGAACGGCTACCCCAATACACCCACCAGAGAGATGCGGAGAAAAGGACTCTCACAGGAGGATGTGCTTTGGCCCTTTGCAGACATGGGCCACCCTGGTAGGTGGCCACTGTTTCCAGAGGCGCGGCCAGGGCCACAGGCAAACTCATGAAAAGGTTCTTGGTGTGGCCGTGTCTCCGGGACCAGCACCGGCCGCATGGGGCCCCGTGGATGGGGCCCAACACGGTGGGGAGAGGAGCTCGGAGGTGCACCGCCCCCTCCCCGCGGCCGAGGGTGGGGCAGACGCACCCGTGTGCCGCTTGCAGTGCTTCAGCATGTTGACCTTCTGCGCAAACTTGCGATGGCACACCTTGCACTCGTACTCCTTGATGCCCTTGTGCAGCTTCATGTGGTGGCGCAGTGCGTGCTTGGTCTTCATGCCTAAGACGGAGCAGAGGAGTGTGAGTGCGCGCCAGGCCTCCCCAGAGCCGACCTCAGGGTGCCCGTGCCCCACCGCAGCCCCACCACCCCTCGGATCCACCCCACAGCCCCACCATCCCGCAGCGCCTGACTGGACCCAGTGGGCACAGAGTCCAAAGACCCAGAGCAGGCAGGGGAGGGCTGGGCCCAGCTGGTCCTCGGTGGTGCTGCCTCAGGAGGCCGCCAGAGAGTCCTGGGACATCAGGACCCAGCAGGGAGCCACCGCCCCAGATGACTTGGGTTTCTGTCTTGCTGACACAAATGTTAACTAAGATGAGGACACTATATCTTCTTTTAATTATTTTTTTTACAAAAGTCTTTTTTTTTTTTTTTGGCTGGGGTGGGGGATGGGGTGGGCTGGAGCGATGGCTCAGTGGTTAAGAGCACTGGCTACTCTTGCAGAAGACCAGGGTTTGAGTCTGAACCAGTTCCAGTGGCATCGGACACCCTCTTCTGACCCCTGTGGGCATTGCACGACATACGTGCACTTACACACACTCAGGCAATACAGTCATATATATAAATAAGAATAATAAAGTATTTTTTAAGCCATTTAAATTTTTTTTAAGTGTACGTGTGTGCATGTGTGTGCCTGTGCATGCGTGTGTGTGCGCATGTACACGCGGGCGAGTATGCAGGTGCTTGAACTGTGGAGGTCAGAGGACCACTCTTGGGAGTCGATTCTTTCCTGCCATCCTGTGGGATCCAGGGATCCAACTCAGGTGGTCAGGCCTGCGGATATGCATCCCTACCCACCAGGCAAGCTTGTCAGACCTCTCTTAACTTTAATGTGGCCAATTTCAGGAGCTGAAATAATCCAAAGCTTTGAGACCTCAGGCCAGTGGGCAGAGGGTTACCCAGGTACAAGGCTTGAGTGTGGGTGAAGCATCTTCCCCATCCAGGGCCCATCTGGGTAAGAGCAGCAGACAAAGCTCAGCACATATCAGAGCAGAGAGAGTCTAGTTCTCAGACGCCCAGTGGACTGTGGCAGTTCACACCAGAGCCCGCTCACAGCTCCATTTTCAGCTGGACCACCCCCCACCCAGACCCACAGTCTCACTAGTCGTTGACATCTGCCGCGGTGGTTGAGAGGTGACTGGACAGCTAGGCTGGGCTAGTCCCAGCAGGAACAGCAGGGGGCACATGGGTCCCACAGTGAAAACAGTCCCCGACAGAGGAAAGTGCTAGCGGCTGGTCTCCCACCTCAGTGGAAGAGCACTTTCACATTAATCCCCCCAGACCCCCAATCTTTCTGTTAAAAAGCTCACACACCACCAGCACAAAATCTCCATGTGAGGACAGATTAGGTGAGTTTGGTCACGCAGCCTGCTCTTGGTACAGCCTGTTCCAGCTCCCTCTCTGGCCCTGCCTCCAGGAAGAATCACATCTAGACTATCCTGAAAGCTCCACTGTGACTCAGGTCACCAGTGCCATCAGCTGCACTGCGATCCTTCTGCCAGTTTCCAACAGCTATTCACGGCTCTCATCTGCTCACCCAGGTAACTGCTATACTCCAACTATGCGCAGGGAGCCAGCAATCACAGTGAGCTGGACAGAATCCTGGCTGCACAGGGCTGCTGTTCTGAGCCAGAGTAGGGCATAAGAGAAACTGCAGCATGGTACAGGACAGGCAAAAGGAGAGATGAGCAGACCCAGATGGGGAGAGGAAGGCTGCCGGGGCCAGCGCTTCATGGCAGTTGAAAACCCTTGTCCACGAAACATCTGGAAAAGTGACCTAGAAGGTGTGAGGAGCCAAGAGCCACTTGGGGGATCAGCAGGAGTAGCGGCCTGAGGCAGGCACAGGTGCACATGTGACTAACCACTTCATGTTTTCTGTCTCTGCATGCCTCTACACTGAAACGAGGTTGAGAACCCCTCATCCACGAGGCTTGGGGTGAGAAATGACTCAGATCCGGGAATCTTTCCAATTCTAAATTATTTGCAGACTTTATTGGTTGAGCATCCCTATTACAGCTATCTGGGAATCTGGAACATTCCCAAACTCGACATTCCCTGAACTCATAGCAATGCTTACACAGGACTGTGGTGTCAGAGGTGGTGTCCTGCACTGCTGCTCCATCTAACCTGGGAGACCTTGTGGGACAGTCACTTCAGCCACCACCGTCCCACAACATCCGATGGTGCACCTGCCTCCTACCTCCACGTACAGGGATTCCCTGTCTGTGGTTCACAGGGTTGGTACCTTGGCTCTAACCCTGGACAGGACAAGTCCTTCCTCCCAGGTGAGACTCAAGAGAGACAGTAGAAAGCTAAAGGGAACCAGTCCTGACTCCCCGTGCTGACATGCCCCAAACTAGCTGCTCTCTCACGGGCATCTATAACGAACGTGTTCTAAATGACAAAAGCAGTCAGTCATCACAAAGCAAAACACAGACAGGAAAGACGACAGAAGTCACTGCGCACCCTGACCCCCCAACCTAGACCGCACCTGCCATCTGTGACCCCGCAACCTAGACCACGCCTGCCATCTGTGAGCCCCCAACCTAGACCACGCCTGCCAGCTGAAAGAACCCCGTGAACAGTTTTAAAGTGAACATACTGGCACATGGTGGGCCTCTTCTAGGAGGGCGTTCTGTCTGTGCCACATCTGCAAACTTTGGGGAAGATTGATATTTAAAATTCAAAACTCCCAAATCTGAGGCTAGGCATGGCACTGCACAATTCTAATCCCCACCCCCACCCCCGGGAGATAGAGGCAGGAGGATCCAGAGTTCAAGGTTACCTTAAGCTACAGTAATGTGGAGGCCAGCCTGGGCTACATCAACACTGTCTCAACAAAGACACAACAGAAACCTCTAAGCCTGGGGCAGGGCATGCCTGATCTCTAAACACTCGGCTTTTTGTAGGCCACACAGGTGTCTTGTGGATTATTCCGTGTAGCCATGGGCACTGACTATGTTCAAGTCTGTGTATGTTCAGGTCTAGAGTTTTTACAGAAGGAAGGGAGGGAGGGAGGGAGGGAGGAAAAATACAGTGATCACATGTAAGCGCAGAGGATCTGGGTGCACAGCCAGAACCTCTCTGGGGACTGCAGCAGTGGCCGAGGGCTGTGAACCAGGGATGATGCCCTGTAGCTCCGAGAAGCTACCAGGGCTCTGGGCGCACACCTACCTTTCCCGCACTCGGCACACAGGTACTCTCTGATGTTGTCATGCACACGCATATGTTCTTTCAGCATGTCCTTCCTGGCAAAGGACTTCCCGCACTGCTCACAGGCGTGGCTTTTCACCCCTACAAACGAAAACAGCAGCACTTGAAGGCCTTGGTGGGCAACAGGTGGGCGCCTCTGCTGGAGGCACAGTGTGACGGGAGCTACTTCTTCAAGAGGTTCCATGGGCTTTACGGAGTCTCTGGCATGAGACGGGCCCTGAGTACCTGGAGAGGACACAGGTGGAAGGGGAGAGATGTGCTGCAGGGGAAGCCAGGAAGGAAGATGCTAGAGAAATGGGGGTGCAATGTGAGAGAGGCAGTACAATTGCCTGTGCACAGAGCCAGGAGTGTGGGGGCAGATCGCTCCTACGGGGCAGGGCTGCTGGTACCAAATGTGACCAGAGGAACATGTTACCTGTGTGGATGAGTTTGTGACGCTCCAGGTTCCCGATGCTGTTGAAAATTCGCCCACAGATCTCACAGGGGTGAATGTACCTGAAACGAGAGGCAAGCCTCAGGAGAAGGCACAGTCCTGGGGCTCGTCTGCTGTGAGGGTCTCCTCCCCACTGTGAGGGTCTCCTCCCCACTGTGAGGGTCTCCTCCCCACTGTGAGGGTCTCCTCCCCACCGTGAAGGTCTCCTCCCCACTGTGAGGGTCTCCTCCACACCGTGAAGGTCTCCTCCCCACCGTGAAGGTCTCCTCCCCACTGTGAGGGTCTCCCCACTGTGAGGGTCTCCTCCCCACTGTGAGGGTCTCCTCCCGACTGTGAGGGTCTCCCTACTGCGAGTCTCCTCAGCAGCGAGGGACTCATCGCCATCGAGCGGCAGGTACCTAAGCACCTTTGTCAACAGAAGTAAAGCAAAAAGGTGCTTTGCACCGTAGCCTCTGCAGTGCGTTGAATTGTGGCCCCCAAATTACTATGTTCAAGTCCTAGCCCATAATGGGCTATATGTGGAGACAGATATTTATGGAGATTAAGGGAAAATGAGGTTAACAAGGGTGGTCCTATCCAACATGGCTGGTGTCCTTAAGATCAGTGCACAGACATGTACAGAAGGCAGACCTTGAGGACTGCAAAAATGCCATCAGCTCGTCAAGAAGAGGGTTCACGAGGAACCAACCCAGAGACACTTGATCTCAGAGCCCAGCCTCCAGGACTGGAAGGACATAAACTGGGTTCTGATGTTTGAGGTCCTGGGCCATGTACTTGGTCAGCAGCCCTGGGGGATGAATGTGCTTTATGACCTAATGTCACCCACTCACTCCCTCCTCGGCCTTGGTGATGGAACATGGGGGAAAAGCTGTGCTGCCTGCCAGGCAGGCCGAGGCTGGAGACATTTTACTGTTAGACCCCTGTAGGGAAAGGTCTAAAGCAAAGAATTAAAGCTGGAAGAAGGCCTGGAGGAAGAGGACAGGTGCAAATCCCCAGCACAAGGCCCCGGTGACTGTGACTTGCCAGGCTGAGTACTGTGGCTTTACAATGCTCCCTCCTCCCCACAGTCCCCAAGCCTCACTTCTGCACGTTGGGGTCAGGCAGGTTCTCGCGGTGGATGACCATGTGGGCGTGGTAGGTGGCCTTGAGCGCAAAGCGCCGGTGGCAGATGCTGCAGCCGTGGCCCTTCTCCTTGTGGACCTCCATGATGTGCTTCAGGTAATCCTTCCCACGGCCGAAGGTGAGCTGTGGGCACAGGGTGCTGGCTGCCGACTCCCTACCGTCCCTGGGCCTCTGCACCACCCTGCGTCTGCTAGACGCCCCGAGGGGGTGTCACTCATGCCGGAGACAGAGCAGTGCACAGGGCTGGCAGGGAGCTGCCTTTCCTGGGACGCAGGCCCCTCAGAAATGAGTCCTTTGTCCATGAAGCATGCATCCTGCTTTACGAAGGGGGAGCCTCAAGAACGGCATCATGAGGGGCTGGAGAGGGACGGAGGCTCACAAGACACTGGCCCCATCCCAGTTAGCAGCCCTGCCTGTGCACACGCCAGCTACAAGTTGACTCTGATGGGTATGAGGCCCACAGTTACCATTCCTGTGCCCAGGTGCCACTGGTGAGTGACACAGGGCGGCCTTCTTAGTGGGGGAAATGGACAAAGAGGTGCCATGGGGGTCTCCGCAGCCCCTCGCCCACAAGCTCCCTCTCCCGACAGCCAGTGTGTGGAGGCAGGACGCCGGCGTACCTGACACCTCTTGCAGCTGTACTTGTGTGGCTCTGAGTCTGCGCTCTCGTCAGAGTTCTCGTCGTTTTCCTCTGAGGAGATCCCGATCTTGCCGATGAATTCCTCCCGCTGGTGGTCATCCATCAGCGCAATGTCCTGCAGGGGAGTCACAAACGTGGCCTCTAACGCAGCGCACCAAGGCTCTGGTCGCACGTTCTGGGAATCAGTCATTTGTCTAAAGAGCTAAACGTGCTGCATTCCTTGGGATGGCACTGGGCCTGGCTGTCCTGTGGCAGTCGCTCGCCATCTGACCTCAGGATCGTCAGGTGGCCTGCCCCACTGGCTGTCCCTCACACTGCCTAGCAAAATGCCACCTGTGCCCAGGCCGCGTCCAGGCTGCTCTGTCTGGGCTCCACTTCCAGCTGGGCTTTGGTTCCAAACAGCACCTGTTCATTTTTCAGGCAGTGCTTCTGCCTGTCACTGGACCCAAGTTCTCCTGCCCTGGTGCTCCTGCTCAACATTCCTCTTCCTTAAAGGCGGGGAGGCAACAGAGGCCCATCCTGCCTTACACCCCCTGGGAAGGACCATGTTGAGGAAATCTTCCATCAGGTCCCACACAGAAGTTTGCTTCAGGACCCACAGCTGGACAGATGTGTAAGAGTGGAAGCCTCCACGAAGAGACTGTCGGTGGCCTCGCTGACAACAGGGAAGGACACAGCAGTCAGTGTTCTGAATGCCAGTGCCCATGTGTGGAAGCCCTCAACCCCAAGGAGACAGCAGAAGGGTGTGGGGCCTTCAGGAGGGGATGGCATCTGAGGGCAGGGTTCTTGTGAGATTACGGCCTTTCTAAAAGAGGCCCTGGAAACTCCCTCACCCCTCCACCATGTGAGGGCACAGCAAGAGGACACCATGTATGAACAAGGAAGCCCTCACCAGACACTGAATTTACCAGCATCTTGATCTTGAACTTCCAGCCTCCAGAACTGTGAAAAATAAATGTCTGCTGTTGGCAAGCAGCCAGTCTATGGTTCTCTATAGGAGCACAAAGCTAAGACAGACACTGGTCCAAGGGCTGGCTGGACCCCGGCATGCCACCTGGAAGGCCAGCGTGTGACGCACCTTGAAGTGGACGTGGATGTGGTCCCTGAGTACGTCCACGCGGAAGAACTTCCGTCCGCAGATCTCACAGGTGTACTTCTTGTCGCCGTGTGTCAACAGGTGTTTGTTCATGTTGCTCCGGCAGGAGAATACCTGGGGACAGAGGAGCCCGTGTGGTGAGGGCTGGGGGTCACCGGACGGGCTGGGAGGCCTGTCCCTGTCTGGCCCACAGGAGAAGCCACAACCAGGCCCAGGGTGCCTGGCAATTTCTTCCAGACCCAAAGTCCTAACGGCACCTCGTGAGAAATACCCATCATCCCTAGCACGTGCTCAGGCATGTGTATGTGCAGAGAGTGGGAACACGTACACGTGCAGCGTGGGAACACGTGCATGCGCAGAGCACGAATGCCTGCACGTGCAGAGCGGGAACATGTGCACGTGGCTGTTAGAACAGGGACTGGGAGCCCCGGATGTCTCCACCTCAGACATGAGCCAAGGCCAGGGCAGCCCACGTGAAGGCACCTGGACAACAGCACCCCCTACTCAGGCAGGAACACCCAGCGTCCACTACCTAACCCGTCATCATGGGGTGGGCTACCCCCAACTCAGAAAACGCTACAGGCCACTGAGGGGAGGCCACACTGACAACAGAAAGCCTCTTCGGAGCTGGGCCAGTCCTTATACGAACTGGTCTACAGCTCCTCACAGGACAGCTTGTGCCAAGAAGCACAGGGGCAGAAAAACGTGTTTCTCAGCAAATTCATCAGAAACCCACCCGTAGATGGCAGAGACCCAAACACCACGTGCTACATGGAACACCTCGGTCTAAGGCAACCTGAGTGCTGCCGCTCACGCAGGTGCATCCGGCCTTAAGACACTGCAACACAATGTTGTCACCTACAAAGCTCACCCTCAAGAACTGCATGATCAAGTTCAAAATAAAAAGATCAATGTTTTACCTAAGTTTCTGATTTTGTGCTTGGACGCATTCACAACTACCTAGGATGCATGAAGCCTGCCAGCCGTAAGTGGGACATGCCTGCAAGTTTCTTGTGCAGGTCCCTGTGTGTAGCTCTAAGGTTTAGCTTGCAAGAGTGGAAGCTTCCAAAGCCAACAGCGACTGTGGAACATTACCTTGCCACACACGGGGCATCCAGAAGGTTCCTTCTTGTAGCGGACCAGGCTTTCCCCGCTGGCCTCCAAGTCTTCTCGCTTCACACGCCGTACACCTGAAATCCCAGACCAGACCTAAGAATGAGTGAGGCTGGACAGAGCAGATGACATGATCACAGTCCAGAGCCCCTCCCATCAGGCCAGCTGCTGCCTGAGAACTGGAAGTGAGGTGGTGGGCTGCTTGAGGCCGGAGTTCAGAGCTGGTCTGGGCAACGTAGCCAGACCCTATCTCGCTGAATAAATAAATAAATTCATGTGACATTGATAATCTCTACACAAACTAGAGAAATGTGTTTTCAGGTCTTTTTCTGTGGCATTCCTGTATGGTCAGGCGCAAATACAGAGCCAGTGAGCTGGGCATTGGGAGTCAGGCTGACAACAGGCTCCCAGGACTGGGGGGCAGAGCAGACCACTGTGGCCAGGCATTCTCTGGGCTCCCAGAGCAGCAGGTGGTGTGGGTCACGCAGGAGAATGAGGCACAGTGGCCTGTCCGTGGCTTCCAGGCCTGGGTGGGGCCCTGAGCACACAGCCAAAGACTCACAAGGGAAAACACTGGTCTTCACGAGCCGCCAGCAGGAAGGGCCGGGGAGAGGGGCCAAGTGTGGGAACTCTCAAAAAGGTACATACGTGGATGCGCTCATGCACATGTGTGTGGACAGAGCTATGACTATGCACAGTTCTGCAACTCCATATTTCCCTTGTTTGCTTTTGTGAGGGTGCTAGGTCAGCGGCTGCTGCTGACAAGAGGCAGCAAAGGGCAGTGGTTCTCACTCATCTTAAGAGACCGGCCTCCGAAAAACACAACACCCCAGGCCGGGGCACCTCAGGCCCGTGCACATCTCTCACCTAGCAGCAACTCTGCATGTCACACTAGGGGCCTCTGAACAGCAGGCCTGTGTGCAGTCTGGGGGCTGCTCGGCAAGTCTCTCCACACGAGGACTCGGGCCACCCCTGCCTCAGCTTCACTCGTTCCCCCCATCGCTGCTGCCTCATGTGTGGAGAAAGCCGATCCTGCTGGGTCTTTCCCTGGCCTCTTGTCATCCACTATGTGGACAGACAGCCCCCAGTCCCAGGCCTGGTGCACAGGTGTGAATCCTCCAAGCTGTAGTAATGAGGCTCAGTAGAGGCTATGTGGAAACACAGAGGGTGGGGAAGGTCTTCTTGGCTGTCCCCCACTACCAGGACCTACCAGCAGCCACCAGCACCCTCTGTTCCCTACCCAGGGCCAAGCCCACCATATGCAGGATGCCAGGTTGGCTTTTCCTACATCCTGTCATGCTGAAAACATTCTTCAAAGTAGTAAAAAGTCCTTCACTGACGTACTTTGAATGACTGCCTAACATGCAATTCTACAAGCAGCCTACTTGCCCTTTCCCAATCCCCACCATTCCAAGGGCTTCTCTCCGATCACGGCACATGAACACCATCCCAGCCCCCGAGAGTCTGACTCCAGGTCAGGTGATGAACATCAGGCCCTGCCGAGCTGCGCTGCCAGGCTGCGCCCACGAGTCTGAGCGGCTCTCCCAGGCTCACCTTCCAGGTGCCGTCGCTGGTGGTCCAGCATGACGTCCTTGCGGTAGAACATCTTGCTGCAGACCTCACAGGCGAACTTCTTGTCTCCGTGCTTCTTCTTATGCTTGGAGAGGTTGCTGTTGGTGGAGAAGAATCTGAAACACATCTCACATTGGAACGTCTTGTCATCTGTCCGGAGAGCAAACACACAACAGTGGCGGTAAATCACCCCGACCAGGCTCCAGCATGTGCCCAGCATAGCGGGCAGCAGGTCAAGGACAGGAGGTCGGTGGGACGCTGTGGTCCAAAGCTCATTAGCTGCGCACTCAGCTAGACACACAATCTCGGCTGCCACCTTCCTCACTGGGGAGAGCTGCCTGAGCAGCCCTCTAGGCTCCTCTGCCTCTATCAGTAGCTGAGCTGCCCCAGGCTCACAGGCCTCCTTGTGCCCTGCAGGCTCCTCCTGTTCTTCCAGCAGAGTGCCACTGGCTAACCAAAGCCTTGTCCCCAGGCTTCCCTTTAGTGGATACACCCTATATTCAGTCAACACAAGTACACCACCTCACACACTCACTGAGCACATACCCCACAAATATGCACATACCGCATGTTCACTCCCCATCCCGCTCAACCCAGGCCACATAAACACACATAAACACTGCACACAGCCTCCAGCAGGGCCGCATCCCTGCATCCTGGTCCTACTTCAGTCAGTCACACTGCAGTTTCCCGCCCACCCAAGACCCTGTGAGTTCACTCTACCATCCGTCCCACAGTTCCCCCTGCCTGCAGCCCCCACTCCTCACCCACTGCGGGGGACGGGGCTTCTCTTGCCTCCTGTGGGCAGCCCTCAGAACTACGCATTCCTCCCCTGAGGCAGATGCACATGACAGATAGGTGACATGCATGACACTGCCTCTCTCTGGAGTGAAGGCCTCCAGGCCAGCCTGCCTCCAGACTCAGTAACTGCTTTCCTGAAAAGCCCTGAGGCTACACGGAGAGCTCCACGACCCACCAAGCACCATCATGACCCACACGCACCATCATGACCCACGTGTACCATCATGGTCCTCCTGCCTGTGGTGCCTTGGGACCCAATGTGCAGACATTCACTGCTGACATCTAGGCTGACCCTGGGGGGTGTTATGTAGCATCTCAAGCCTTCACCCATTCTACTGCATTCTAGATATAGCCCTTGCCCCCAGCCAGTTGTAATAACCAAGACGTGCCCAAGGTGCCGCTGCTCCCTCGAACCCGCGTGCACTATTTGGGACCTCTAGACTGAGACCCTCTGGCTGCAAGAAGTCTCTAGCCTCATTCAGGAGAGTTCGTGTGTAACCAGCCAGAGGTCAGACCACCTAGACCTGAAGAAGACCAGCTGCCTTCATCTCTCCTTCTGGGGAGAAAAGGACACAAAGCTGTGTACCCGGCCAGAAGCAGGGAGGAGGCTGGAGCTGGGAGATCCAAACACATGAGAGGACCCCACAGAAAGCAGTGGCTGGCCACAGCTTCCACAGAAGAAGGACAGTGAGACAGGGCTACTCTTGCAAGGGCAGGCATGGACAAGAGGCTGTGTGAACCACAGGAGACCGTGGCCCACTCCTGGTGGTGTGACCTCAGCACAGACAACAGGATGCTGTCCTCACAGTGGTGTGACCTCAGCACAGACAACAGGCCATCCTCACAGTCCTGGTCTTACCACAGCACTCACTTTCCTTTGTAAGTTTAACTGCTGTTCACAGGATTCCACCCTCCCTGTGATTTCTGTTTGGCTATAGCTTTATAGAGCTGCTCCATTAAGTCACCAAAGAGACCCCAACCTGGCCTGTAGCACAGGTGGGCCTCCCCCAGACAGGCACTGAACAGCACAGGTGTCTGTGAACAGCACAGATAGTCTTCCCTCTCAGGCATGTACTTAATGTACACAGGTGAGCCTCCCTCCCAGGCAGTGCTGGATAGCGCCAGTGTGTCTCTGAAGAGCACAGGTGGGCCTCCTTCCCAAGCAGCTGCTGAACAGTACTGGCACCCACAAAATGCTCCAGTTCTGACTTGGGCTCTGATGCTTTCTCTCATAGGCCTCTCGGTATATGGAAGGAGACTCCACTTCTATCCCCTGAGGTTGGGGGTGCTTCTGAGCACTGAGTGTAAAGGTTGGGGTAGCTTCTAAACACTGAGTGTAAAGCTGGGGCAGAGTTGTTGGGATGACCCATCACACCTCAACAATACCCACACAGTCCTGAGATGAAGGTACCTAGACAGACACCTGGTTCTAACAAGCCTTCTCCTGTCACTAATCCAGCCACTACGAAGGTCAGAACTGATGTACAGTCCGTGTGGACAAATGCCCTGGGAGCCACGCTGGGCACCAGAGAGGGCTGGAGAGTAGACGCTACAGAGTCAAGCTGCTGGAGGCTGTACTATGTCTCAGGGCCTGATCTTGGGCCTTGCTACACAACATTCAAGGCACCACAGCAACCATGTGGAGGAGACAGACACCAGTCACAGCGCAAGGAGGACACAAAGACGGGCCTGGAAGTGGGCTGGGGAAAATTGCCCACTACATACTTGAAGCCCCACGCCCTGCGCAAATCCCTGGCTTAATGGCATTCTTTCTTTTAAAAAAACTTTTTATTTTATATGTATGAGTGTATTGCCTGCATGTGTGTAAGTGCACTCATGTCATACAGTGCCCGAGGAGGACAGAAGAGGACATTGGATTCCCTAGAACTGGAGTTAAGGACGGTTGTTAGCCACCCTGTGGGTGCTGGGAATCAAACCCGGGTCCTGTGCAAGAGCAGCCAGTGCTCTTCACTGCTGAGCATCTCTCCAGCCCAACATGCATTCTCTTAGCTTCAGTACCACAGGAGCCCTTAGCAGGATGCAGACAAGCAGAGTTTCAAGGCCTGAGTCTCAGCTTCCAGCCTCTGAAATCAGAGCGTCTATGGAGAAAGGCTGCCGGGCAATTCACCACTCCCATTTCTACCTAGCAAGGAGGACTTCCCAGGACAGAGTTTTAGCCAGAACACAGCAACTGCTGCTTTTTACTGTTTTTTGTCCCATTGTCTGAAGAAACTTAAATCAAAGGGGAACAAGTGCTTGTCCTGGGCCTTGACAGCCACACTAAGCATGGGGCTGGAGACCGCCCCCTAAATCCATGGGGGACCACAGGGAGGTGGCACCAGCCACTCCATGGGAACAGTGAGGTATGCTCAGGTTCTTGTGGGCACAGAAGGGTGGGGAGGGCAGAGACCACAGGCTGCGTCGATGGGGTCGTGCTGGAGGAGGCACATACCAACAGCCATCCTCCAGAGAGCTAACACTTGGGGAAACCGCCCCAGCCTGCCCCGCAGAGCACGCCAGGCCCAGTGAGGAAGGCCCATGACCATCCGCCGTGAAAAGGAACATATAAGCTCCTGGGGGTCCCGGCTGGGCTCGCAGAGGTGGGCTCCCACAGGAGGGAGCAGTGGGCAAGGCCTGACACAGGCGCTGTGGGAGCGTGATCACAGGCGCTAACCTGCTAGGTGTCTGAGCTGACTGGCCCCCAGCTCTCCAGGGTTTGCTGAGTCCTACAGGGAGGGGGGATGCAAAGGCACCCCTGACCTTCCTAGCCTCCACTCTCACTGCTCAGGCCTTGGCTGCACCCGGGAAGGGGGTGGGGGGAGCGCAGAGACAGGCACCCTGCCTCAGGGGGCCGCTCACCTCCCGCACCCACAGATTTCCAATTTGCTTTCTTTTGCCAGCTTGGAAATTGGCCTCAAAGATGGAACGGGATGGGATCCCGGACCCCGCAGCCTCTGCTGTCTCCCCAGCACAGCGCACAGCGGCTTCTGTCGGCTTTTTTGCAGGGGAGCCGTAAACAGAAGCAGGCCCGGTACAACGACCCAGGCAAAGGAGCAGGGAAGCCCCTGGCTGCGGGCTGGCAGGAAACACGGCTAGGGGAAGGGAAGGCCGCTGGGGGGAAGGCCCTCCAACAAGTCAGGCAGGCCGCTCCCATCGCAAGCCCCTGCCTTTGTATCTCTCTCTCACACAGTCCTAGAACAAATGGAACAGCATTGCTCACCCTGGTCAGTAAGGATGAAGGCATCAGACCCAGGGTCCGAGAGGAAGGAGCTCACATGCATCCCTTCTGACATGGGATAACCCATCCCCTCCTGCCCCAAGCAGGAGGAGCAGGTTGCCAAAACATTGCTCTCTGGAGACCCAGTGGGTGTCCTGACAGCTGAGCAGGTGGGGCAGGATGGTGGGACACTGGTGGTGGGGCCTCACCTGTCCTGCAGTTGTGGAACTCCAGCGCGCTCTCCATGCGGAAGGTCTTCCCACAGCTGCTACAACGATAGCGGTACTCGCCGTCCACCTGCTCGAGTGGGTGCACTGTCACCAAGGCAGACGGACATGTGGGCCAAACACGGGCGCTCCCTGGTGTGCTGTTCTAGCAACCTCCAAGGCTGGCTACACTACAGGTTTTCTCTCCTAGTCTATTAGGAACACAAAGAGCGGTCCACTCTTGCTGTCCAACTGCCCTAGAAAGAGTCCCCCACACAGGTAAGTGCACTCCAAATGCCAGCCACCACATTCTTCCAACTCCTTCCATCTGCCTCTATGAGCAGGAAGGGCCTGGTCTGGCTCAGGAGTGTCCAGCTCATGGGACCATGGGGAGACCCTCCCTCAGGAGGCTCAGCGCTCCACCTCCACCAAGGCTCCTCCTCCTGCAGCTGGACACAACAGTCAGGGCCCCCTGGGGTCCTGCCACCTACCTCATTCCTGCTGTGCTTGTATGAAACATGTTGCTTTAGACTCTCCTTTCGACTGAACAGCTTTGAACATTCCTCACATTTAAACAGCTTGTCACCTAAGAGAACCGACCAATAGAAAGGACTCACTGCTTTCGGCAGTAAGTAATAAACCCACCCCTGAAGCAAGAGGCCTCTGCCTGACCTAACCTGCCCCCTGCACTGGAGGGGACAGGGGGTCACAGAGAGAAGGACCCAGTGTGAGACATGCTCTCCTGAACCAGCCCTGTGGGCTGGGCATGCTAGGAGAGCTGGGCAGCAGGCACGCCTCACCGTGCGAGCACTCACCGTGCGAGCGCACGTGCCGGCTCAGGTTGCTGCTGTTCTGGAAGACCTTGCTGCAGGTGCCACACTGATGGACACGCTTGTGTTCACTCAGCTGACGCACAAGCTTCCGCCGGACCCCGTGTCTGTTGGACAGAACCAAGCCCCTCTTGAGGGCGATGGTGCCGGTCGGATGATGCGTGAACCTGCCAGAGACGGACAGCTGGTGGAGGGTCGGTGACAGCAGGGTTTTCAGAGAATGAAAGCTGAGGGCCGTAGTCAGTTGGAAAGACCCTCCTCCCGCACTTCCCAGCTGTATCGGGTCCATGAGGAAAGAGCAAGGAGGGCAGAGCTTGGGGTCCCCCAGCTCCTGGGGCGGCTCCCAGGCACAGACACCTGGAAGGCAGGCCACGGTGGCCTCGTGTGGTCTAACAGCTGCGCATCTCTACCCACTTCAGCTCTGGCCACCAGGAAGCCTGGTGACCCTGTCCGTGTGCCCTCCTTCCCTGGTCCTGCCTCTCCTCTGGTTTGTTCTGCATCTGAACCTGACTGCTGACATTTCTCCCTCCCACCTCCTTCTTATGACAGATACTGGAAATCCTCTGGACAATAAGGCAAGGACATCATCTCCAGCATTTGCTCAGGTGCACCAGAGGCATCCTGCCAACCCTAAAGGGCACTCCAAAACCATCACCAGCTGTCAACTTCAGGTCAGAAACTTACCAGGAATCATACCTGAAATGCACAACTTCTTTGTTCACAAAAAGAAACACAGGGTAAGGTGTTAAATCTACTGAACCCCGAATACAGGCAACTGAGCAACCGCAGCGGCATCATCATACTAGGAAGGCAGAGCTACCCGATGCCCCTCGATGGGGTATGGCCAGTGCAACACATGGCTCAGGGTGACACTGTTCAGGCTTAACAAGGAGATGCACTTCTGCCTAGGAGATGAAGCCTGCCTGGACCCCTGTGAGGATCTCCTGTGGGAGACGTTTTCCCCCCAATACTGATTAGCTGTCCCCTTGTGCTCTGTCCCCACGCACAGGCAGCGGTGCGGGCAGAACTCACTTGGGCACCGAGCTGACGTCATTCGTGGGGGTGGCCAGCTTCCCCAACACCAGCTCCATCATCCGCTCATCCGGTGTTGTGCTCACAGACTCATCAGGAGGGACTTCAGCGATGATCTCTGCCACATGCTCTGTGCAAAAACAGTGTGACAAACCCAGTCACCACGTGTAGAGGACGGAACATGACAAACCCAGGGGAAGTTAAGTACTGGTGCTGGACCACAGCCAGAGTGTAGACCCGACCATCAGAGCTGACACAGGAAGAAAACCAGCGGCATTTTGGAATCCAGATGTTTATCTGTATATTATGAAAGCAGATTGCTTTGGTCCAAACTGAAGCTAACCTTCTGTGGTTCCTTTGAAAGCCAAAGTAGCACATCACCTCAATTTCTCTTTACTTAGGGACACTTTACATACATAAAGACCTTGCAGTTTTTACTAAATTATAACCAATTTTAAATTTAAATATTAAATTTAAAATCTGATTTGCCATTTTGAGGATGCTCAAAAGACAAACATTTTATATCGGTTCATAAACGGGACAATGGAATGAGGGAAGGTGGTATGAACGACTCAACCACTGTCTTGTTGTCGTTTTGGTTTTTTGACACAGGGTCTCAGGTAGTCCATGGTGGCCTTGAACTCACCATGTAGTCAAGGGTGGTCCTGAACATCAGATCCTTCTGCCTACACCTCCCGAGTGCTGGGATTCCAGGTGGTCACTGGTCTTTGTGGTTCTGGGGGCAGAGCCTGGGGTTCTGTGCATGTACTCTACCAACTGAGCCACATCCCCAGACCCTCGGTCACTGGTTTCTGTAGTTTCACAGACTGTCGTCAACCACAAACAACAGCCAGGAAACAGAGCCTCCTGGCCCTTCCTGTCTACAACAGGGAAGTGCCAGGAGCCCAGGCTGCTCCTACTTGTGTTCAAATGCTTCCAAACAGTACAGAGAATAATCACCAACACAGAGGGGCGCAGGGAACAGGAAAATGGACGCTCTCCAGGAAGCTGCTCTTCTGGTCTCTGTCTCTTTTTTAAATATTTTATTTATTATTTTTATGTGTATGAGTCTATTGCCTGCATGTATGTGAGTGCACCCGTGTCATGCAATGCCTTGGAGGTCAGAAGAGGGCGTCGAATTCCCTGGAACTGGAATTAAGGACAGTTTGTAGCCGCCATGCGGGTGCCGGGAATCAAACCCGGGTCCTCTGCAAGGGCAGTCAGTGCTCTTAGCCGCTGAGCCATCTCTCCAGCCCCTCTGGTCTCAAGGACTGCCTTGCATTTCCACAAAGTCTTGGGGAAGTAAAATTAGAGTGTTCCGAGCCAGGAACACAGGTGGAGGGACAAGCACCCGAGCCCCAGGCCTTGTCCCTGGCATCAGAGGGGCCAGGCATCTGGCCGGGAGCAACTGCATGAAGAGACAAGGACGTGTGTCCCCGGAACTGCACCCACCGGAGAACAGAGTCACTCTCTCCTCAGACTCAACTGAGTGTTCTGCACAAAGGGACTCAGGCTGGTGAGATAGCTCAGTGGGTAGAGGCGCTTGCCACACACTCCCGGAGACCTGAGCTCCACCCCTGGAATTCACAAAAAGGTGAGAGAGTCGAGTTCATAAAGTTGTCCTCCGATCTCTACCCATGCACCATGGCATGTATGCACCCCAACCCCACACTAAAAAGCCAGCCAGACATTGAGAGCTCCGGTCAGAAACACTAATCTATGCAAGTAGCAGAGAACAGGGGATGGGGACATGCTTGGTCCTGAGGAGACCCTGGTTAGCTGTGTCCACAGTTAAAATCTCGACATAATCTACTGTGCACACACTACATGATAATTACACTCTAACAGAGTGGACTGAGGGACTGGAAGAGAGCAGCAAAGCCCCTCCCTCCACCCAGCAGGCTGAGGGGACAAGGGCTCCACCAGGATGGGCTGCACCCCATCCCCGGCACAGCACGCACTCCCCCAGCCTCTCACCTGTAGGCTCCTTGTCTTTGACAATGACCCCAGGCTGCTCGACTTTGGACACTTTGGGCTTCCTGCCCCTTCGAGGCTTCTTCTTGGCTTCTGTGGTGGCCCCAACACTCCGGACACTCTGCACGCTCGGGCTCTCTGCTCTTGCAGGAGGCTCCTCCTGTGGTGCTCTGGCCTCCTTTTCAGGAGCTGCCGCCTCAGGCTGGCCGCCTGCAGGAAGGCTTTTGGCTTGCTCCAGGTGACCCAAGAGATGCTCTGTAAGGGTGACAGGCAGCTGACAACACAGTATACCCTGTCATGTTGTTTTTTTTCATTTTATTTGCCAAGTGTGCCCATCGCACAGGTAAATTAACATTATTTGCACCATTTTTAAAGAGAGGAACAGTCCCTATGCCACAGGCACACCTACAAGCTTAGTTTCCTTATCTGAAGGGCTGTGGATCATGGTAGACTCTGGATTTCTGAAATTTATATAGCATTTCAGATTTTGAAGTTTCACGTATGGGCTGCTCAGCTTGTTATATATTTGTCTGTTTAGTGGCAGGGTCTCATGTAGACCAGGCTGACCTCAAACTTACCACGTAGCAGAGGACGGCCTTGAAGTGCTTCTCTAGGCAGTGCTGGGGAGCAGACCCAGTGCTTCCTGTATGCTAGGTAAGCACCCACCAAGGGAGCTGCACCCTCAGTCCTCATACTATGTTTAGAAGTAAATTAGGGGACAGAGGCAGGGTATTTCGGCCACAAAGGCAGCTCTGTAAGAACTGAAGCACCCATGTATGTCTGCAAAGAAAGCCCGAGTGGTGTGCTGGGGTGGTAATGTTCTCCTTTACGATGAACTTACAGGAGACTTCTGTTTCTGCCTTAAGCTTATTTGTGTCTTTTATTTTTTCTGCAGTGAATCTGTGATACGCTTACTAAAAAAGTATCACCCACAAAGGACTACCAAGAAAATAACTCCCAATAAACATTCTTTACAAATACCACATCAAAGTAAAATAGCTTTCCTTCTTTACAACTGATAGAAGGCCTTGGGGAGGTCAGCAGAAACAGACATGGGGACAGGCAGGCAGGGCGGGGTGCCACAAGGAGTAGACAAGCTTGGCAGGAGGCAGGCAAACTGGGCTCAGATTAGTGGCTGGATCACAGGGTACCAGGCAGCAGCAGGAGGCAGTGGCAGGGGGCAGCTGGTGACCAAGCACACACACGAGAGATGACTGTGCACACTCAGGCCTCGGGCTGGCTCTTCCTACTGCAAATCTGAGCTGATTCAACACTAGCTTCAAGCTGAGTGGCCATTATCCCTCATCTGTGCAACATTAGAGACACTCAGCCAGGTGAGTGCTCCAAGGGGCCAAGGTTCATGAAGAAAACAAAACAAGAGCATAAACACAGTGCCATGCGGCCCAGCCACCTAACAAGCTGACAGGAAAGCAAACAAGACCCTGTGCCACCCTGCGGCGGGAACTTAAAACCAACGTGAAGCGCACAAGTCAATTTGGAGGCCTAGGGTCTCACAGGGTTGTGTGCTGTAAGACAGGATGGCAAGTCACCAAAGGCCTGGGAACTGGAGACAGACTTGAGTCTACACAGGAGCCAGGCACATGGACCTAGACTCATGGCTACACAGGACTCAGCTAATAGGAGACATGGGCTCAGGTCTACACAGGGCTCAGAAACTAAGAGACATGGGCTCAGGTCTAAAAGCAGGGTCTGAGCACAAGAACACACAGACTCAGGCAACACAGTGTACCGGATAGCTTTAGTGTCAACTTGACACACATGGGTTGAGGGGGCCTCAATTGGGGAATTGCCTCCATTGGACTGGCCTGTGGCCAGGTTTAAGGGGCATCTTCTTGATGAGTGATGTGGGAGGGCCCAGCCCACTGTGGGTGGTGCCACCCCTGGGCAGGTGGGCCTGTGTTGCATAAGAAAGCAGGCTGAGCAGGGGTCAGGGAAGCAAGCCAGTAAGCAGTGTTCCTCCATGGCCTGTGCTCCAGCTCCTGCCTCCAGGTTCCTGCCCTGAGTTCCTACCTTGGCTCCCTGATGAACCGTGACCCAGGAGATGTAAGATAAAATAAACATTTTCCTCCCCAAGTTGGTATTGGTCAGAGTATTTTGTCACAGCAATGAAGAAACTAGAACACACAGCACCCAGGTACTAGGAGATACAGACTCACCTAATCACGGTACTGGGAAACACAGATTGATGTCTACACAGGACCCAGGTTCAGGGCTACTTACATAAAGTCTGGTCTGTGCCAGGATTCCTGTAGGGTCCAGTGTCGAGGGAAGCAGTAAGAAAGCTATTCTCTGCTATGGTTTCACTACTTAGTTTTTGTTTTTTTTTTTTGTTTGTTTTTTTTTTTTTTTTTTTTTTTTTTTGTGTGTGTGTGTGTGTGTGTGTGTGTGTGTGTGTGTGCGCGCGCACACATGCACGTGCATAACCATGTTCAAGCTGCCATACAGGTGTGGAGCTCAGAGGATAACCTGTGGGAGTCAGTTCTCTCCTGCTATGTGAGTCCTGGGACTGCAGCTCAGAGAGTCAGGCCTGGCAGCAAGTGCCTTTACATCCTGAGCCATCTTGCCAGCCCTCTGTTTAGAGAAAGGGAGGGTGAGGGACAGTGATCCCCATGGGGAACTGAAGCCCCAAGGCCCCACACACAATCCAGATACATACCGTTTGAGCTAAATCAAACAAGACTCCAACATTCTAGTGAGAACTGTCACCTGAACCTATGAAGCTCAGGGAAACACAAAGGCAGGCCGCGCCTCGGTCCACAGTCCGTGGGGGAAGTGAGAAGGAGCGAGAGAACGTGGAGAACCCTTGCTAAGCACTGTACCAGAACAAGAATCCCAGAGAACACCCCACATCCCAGAAAGCTTAGCAACCAGCCACTGGGGGCTAAGCAGACAAAAGGCAGGAACACTGGACTCGAAGGTCACAGCACAAGCTGAGGGCAAACTTGGTGGGAAACATATGCAACCCAGGAAGGAAGGGAAAACATTGTGAAGAACGGCTAAGATGTTTAAAAACAACGAGCAGCCTTGGAAAATACGCAAACAAAATGCCCGTAAGATTTTTTAAAATGCCGGGTATATCGGCACACAGCTTTAATCCCAGCACTCGGGAGAGGCAGAGACAGGGAGATCTCTGTAAAGGCCAGCCTGGTCTACCTAGAGAGTTCCAGGCCAGCTGGGACTACAGGGAGACCCTGTCTCAAAAAAGACCAAAAAAATAATTAAAAGAACAAGGATACGAATTAAAAACACGATGTATCAGCTGAAACTTAGACATCCCTGAAAAAGGAGGAGACAAACTGAAGCAGAGCCACAGGAACTCCCCAGAACAGGAGGAGCTGGAAGCAGGCGAGGGAGGAGGGAGATGGGGGCCCAGCACAAGAAGGTCTAGGGGCTATCCAGACCAACCCAGCTCCTCAGTGCAGTCCCCAGGAGCCCTTGGGGCCACTTCCCGCCCCCATCTGCCTTTGCAACTCTGGGTGGCATGGCCAACAGCTGCCCTAGAGCAGCATCTTTCCTGGGCATGGCTCCCAGGCCAGGCCAACCCCCAAATTCCTAAGGCCAAAAATCTTTTCTGGAGGGATCAGACCTTAAGAGAAAGCCTGAGAGCATCTGGTCTTCATCTGACTTGGGCCTCTGTGGGAACTCCTGAAGACAAAAACAATCTGGCCACTCCAATGTAAAATCAAAAGAGAGAACCGTAAGATTAGAGGAATCAGCCTTTCATGCCCAAAAAGTAAACCACAAAGACACATGTTGGGGGCCTCTGTTATGTGAAGTAGAAGTCTCTTCATATCCGGAAATTAAAAGAACAAGGATACGAATTAAAAACACGATGTATCAGCTGAAACTTAGACATCCCTGAAAAAGGAGGAGACAAACTGAAGCAGAGCCACAGGAACTCCCCAGAACAGGAGGAGCTGGAAGCAGGCGAGGGAGGAGGGAGATGTGTGCCCAGCACAAGAAGGTCTAGGGGCTAAGAGACGGCTCAGCAGTTTAGAGCTCTTGCACAGGACCTGAGTTCGGATCCCAGGACCCACATTAAGCAGCTCACCACTACTGTAACTCGTTCTAGGGGATCCCACACCCACTTCTGGCCTCCACCGGCATCTGCAGGCATGTGGTGCCTGTACACACAGACACTCACACATACATATAAAATAAAAATTTAAAAGGTCTGAAGTGGGTACAACAGGCCCATGAAAGAGAACAGAGAGGGGGGGAAACAACAGGATGGGCCAGGGGCCTCTGAGCGCAGATCAAGATCACATGGAAAGCAAACAAAGGGGAAGGCAGGGTTTCGCGGCTCAGTGGGTGGAGTGTTGCCTCTCTCGCCCTGGTTTGACTCCAGTACAGTGTACACCAGGCATGGTGATAGGCTCCTGTAATCCAAGTAGGAAGGAGGTTAAAGGACAAAGACAGAGTTCAGGTTCAAGGTAAAACCCTATCTCAAAAGCAAGGAGACAGTCAAAAGAAAGCCAGACCAAATCTACTGATGGGGCATCTACACAGGCCAGGAAGCCAGGTCCGCACGGTGTCCCTCCAGTCTGGGTGCTTGTGATCTGTGTTCCATGTACTGTGGTGGGTATATTAACAGCTTCTACCATGAGAATGGATTTTTAAATTTTTTTAAATTTATTTTCTGTGTGTGAGTGCTGTGCCCGCATGTGTGTTAAGTGCACCCGTGTCGTACAGTGCCCACAGAGGACAGAAGAAGGCAGTGGATCCCCTGGAGCTGGAGATATGAATGGTTGTTAGCTGCCATGTGGGTGCTGGGATTCGAACCCAGATCTTCTGCACGCAGAGGTCAGAAGAGTCCCTAGGACTGGAGTTATGGACAGTTGTTAGCTGCCATATAGGTGCTGGGATTTGAACCCGGGTCTCTGCAAGAACAACCAGTGTTAACTGCTGAGCCATCTCTCCAGCCCGAGTAGAACAACCAGTGTTAACTGCTGAGCCGTCTCTCCAGCCCGAGTATATTTTCCTCTCTTCAAATACAGCTGTCAGCTTTGCCTTCACGTATCTTTAGACTATGTGCATGATTCAAATACAATGTATAATCAAAGTGTGGAACAGAGCCAATATGGTTCTTGGGGAAAACTTCGCAGTGCTTAGATTAAAAAATAGCTCTGCTTCCCTGGGCCTGCAGGATCTGCAGGCCTCTCTCCAACCAGTAGGCCTCTCTCTCCAGGGTAGGTTCATCCCCCCCCTTCCCCCAGCCTCATTCACCCATCTCC